CATCAGGAGTATCAGATACTGGAGCAGTACAGGGTACCGATTCTTTTTACCACTGCATCTTTAGTCATATATCTAATGTACGCGTTCCACTTTATATCTGGCATCAGTTTAAGTCCCAACAGGCCCTTAAAGCACAGGGTCAACCCAGAGAGAACACGCGTACCTCTCGATGGGTGACAATGTAGGGTTTCAGTTTTAATATTTCAGTTTTTTTATTGCTTCCCAGAGATCTTTAATTAAATACAGTTTTCCCTTCAAATATAAGTCGCTTTTAGTGAAGGACTGTAAGTTTAACTTTGGATAACTATCTGGAAAAGCTAAAACGTCATTCTGTGAGAAAGAAGGTGTAGCGTGGAAAATAATACATCACCCACAAGGACGTAGAGACGCTTTTGGGCTTTATCAAGACTGGAAAGTGATGACTAGGGAATAGAATAGGGCCATCCCGTTTGCGTTGACAGTTGTTAGGGCGGAGCCAGAGGAGAGATCAGCTGCCAAACTCTGATTATCTAGAATTTTGAAGTCGAACTGATAAACCGTTCGTATTATCAACATAGATATTCACAAATGTTCGGATTATACTTTTAGGCCGATCATTCATGTAAAGTTGGACCGTGAAGCCAGTCTTGTGGGGACGTCTCCGTATTTTTTTGCTTGAGCCTCGGTGGACTGGTCTTTAGTTAATCGTAAAGGAGGACTTGATAATTATGAAGACGCGTACAATGATTCCATCGCTAGAGTACTTGTACAGTAACGTTCTAGACCATACCGTGTCAAAATATCTAATACGACTGTGTGCGTGGGATCAACTTAAAAATCTTCGTTTTACTACTACTATGTTTTCTTCTATTCCCTATCTATCTATCTATCTATCTATCTATCTATCTATCTATCTATCTATCTATCTGTCAGCCTGCTCAAGTCTATCTCAGTCTGTTCATATCTATCTATCTATCTATCTATCTATCTATCTATCTATCTATCTATCTATCTATCTCAGCCTGTTCATGTCTATCTCAGGTTCTTTATCTATCTATCTATCTATCTATCTATCTATCTCAGCCTGTTCATATCTATCTATCTATCTATCTATCTATCTATCTATCTATTTATCTATCCCAGCCTGTTCATATCTATCTATCTATCTATCTATCTATCTATCTATCTATCTATCATCTATCTATCTATCCCAGCCTGTTCATATCTATCTATCTATCTATCCCAGCCTGTTCATATCTATCTATCTATCTATCTATCTATCTATCTATCTATCTATCTATCTATCTATGTCAGGTTCTTTATCTATCTATCTATCTATCTATCTATCTATCTATCTATCTATCTATCTATCTATCTCAGCCTGTTCATGTCTATCTCAGTCTGTTCATATCTATCTATCTATATTATTTACATTGTTCGGACTATTGTTCTCATATTTGTTGCCATATTTATCACAACGTTTCGACTCTTGTACACCTCGACCTTCTTCAGGTGGTTAGAATGTCGAACTGAACCCTTTATTTCGCTCACTGGGGTAGACTGTTCTAGTTCCACGTGCCATGTCTAATGGATGTCAGTTATCAGTTATCTCCTGTTAATTGCCCTCTCCGAGTTCTCCATTGCCTTAACCAGGTATTGAACTCACGCTCAAGGTCACATGGCACAGTGGATAAAGACGTTAGTTAGATCCAGTGACAGGAACCAAAGAGTGTGAGTTCAATAACTGGTTAAGGTAGTAGAGAACTTGGAGAGGACAATTAACAGAAGATAACTGATGACTGACATTCATTAGATATGGCTCGTGGAACTAGAACATTCTAACACACCGAGCGAAATAAATGTTCAGTTCGAAGGGTGTTGAATAAACACAAAATGCAGTATAAGTGGGCTCTGTGGCTGTTGAATAAATAAAAAAATGCACCTGAGCAAGTGTCTGCAATAGGGATTGGCTAGCCGCCCTTTTAAACCGGTATCCTCGAATACGAGTGGCCAGCTGTACTATCTATCTATCTATCACTCTGTGTATATATATATATATATATATATATATATATATATATATATATATATATACTTCACTTACACTTCCTTATTTTTCCATTCTTCGTCTTTTCCTTTATCCCATACCTATTGTTCATTCTATTCATTCCTATTATCATCTATTTTCTTCGCGTTCTCATTCATTTTATTTTTCCTAATATATTTCTATTCTTTCCTCTTTCTTATTTCCATCATTAAAGAGATAAAAGATAAATACAAGAACAGGAATTAAGAAAACAAAACCAGCGATTGACATTCATTTTCGAAGATCAACATTGACTGGAAATCAAGAGGCCAAACGTGAAACACACGAGAGTTCAAGAGAAGAAACAGTTAGCATAGAAATTACGGTTACATCTAGCAATTTCAACTCTAAAATGACGTGACCTTTACGACAATCTAGTACTGCACTTGAGTACAATTACTATCAATATATATATATATATATATATATATATATATATATATATATATATATATATATATATATATATATATACTTCATTTACACTTCCTTATTTTTCCATTCTTCGTCTTTTCCTTTATCCCATACCTATTGTTTATTCTGTTCATTCATATTCTCATCTATTTTCTTCGCGTTCTCATTCATTTTAATCTTCCTAATATATTTCTATTCTTTCTCTTTCTTATTTCCATCTTTAACTTCTTTTCCATTTACTCATTCTTCTAATTTTTTTTTTTATTTCTCACCTGTTTTCTACCCAGCTCATAAAAGTATCGATCTTTATCAGTAGACTAGCGTTGTTCCTACCTTTCATCAAGGAGATTACATTATCGAAACGTCATGCTATTTGACTTCAAAATAAGACAAGAAAGCGGTGGGGCCCTACAAAAGACTGTTCAATGCGTAAAGTGAATAAGGTACTACGGTACGTGTGTGCCAGAACTGATTTTCAAGATTTCGATCGGGATCATTTTACTGTTCAGGCTAAGTGAGATTAAATGCGATAAAATGAAGGAGTTAGTGAGACATCAGTCCCCGTTATGAGACCAGGATAATCGGGACATCCTTCAACTATCCAAATCGATTGTTAAGTACCATCTGTGTCAACTTTTTTATGTCAAGGAGCTCGAGTTTTCTGTCCCACATAATTGTGTCAATGAGGCTAACCCCTCCCAATAGAGTAGCAAGTCATGGTGGTTCGTTGATATTTTTATTAACAGTATGGTGAGAAGAGACGACAAAATGGATCATCTATAAATCTATGAAGCAAAAACGAATATGAGAGATTGAAAAAAGACAGCACTAACAATGTCCAAAGATGGAATTTGTTCGAGACAGTTATGCTTTCAATTTGGTGTGATTCGGAGGTTATTGCCTTGTATGTGCTTCTTTCTACGAATAAGACCATTAATTCGGATGTGTACCATGAGCATCTAGACAAATCTCAGTGATCCACCAGTAGTGGCTATTATTTCCTACCTGTAACGCCACTGTCTTCCCACGGGACAATACCAGACACAACAGAATTAACTAGGCCTTGGCTGGAAGGTTTTGCCTCACATTCATCCGAACTTGCATTTTCAGATTTCCATTATTTTTGGTTTCTACAAAATTTAACTTTGAAGAGAATATAAGTATTCAGTTGGAAGTGTTTTTCGTCAGTAAAAGCAGAGAATACTATGAGCAGGTAATTCTTTGCGCAGAGAATAATGGATCTGCCCATTAGATGGTAGAAGATATTGGAAAAAAAACACAGAAATTTTATATCATCGACTGAATAAATAGTTCATTTTCGCTTAAAATACCGAACGGACATTATGACCAAACCAATACGACTAAAGCTGACATCATATATTTAAACTTTAAACTTGCTCTAACAACGCGGCATCTGTGTCCGAATTTGAAAATTCGGCGATAAATACGGTTTTCCATGAGAGAAAAGGGGATAAAAATTCTATTCTTTTAAGCGTCAAAATATTTCTTTAGTAAGACGTTCTAGGCCGGTTGTTATTATTTTCACTGTTTAAGAAAAAAAAAAAAAATCAAATACATGTACAGGGTAAAAATAACCTTTATATTAATAAGCTATATACATAATATAAATATTATGTATATAGATAAATAATTTGATTAAAAATTATAAATTAATTCCGTCGAGCACTGTGGGGAGAAATCACGAGTTTGTAAACAGTAACTATTACTGCGAATAATGCAAGACTCTCCCACCGGATTGTGTCCTCTATGTCATTAGCGTGTTCATGAAAAAATAAATACGCAAAAATTGACCTTTCTCCCGGTGGAATCTGAATTCTAGGGGTTAGAATCTCCAACTGGTGCTAAATCGGTCAGGTTTCGGTCCCGGCTTGAAGCGATTGGATGTATTGCCATAGAAATGAGCTATGATAGAGCGAAACAGTCTGACTCTGGATGACTATATATATATATATATATATATATATATATGTGTGTGTGTGTGTGTGTGTGTGTGTGTGTGTGTGTGTGTGTGTGTGTGTGTGTTGTAAAAGATAGTTTCAGTTTCCTATATATGGAGAATTCAAATAACTAAGAGCTAATCAGAGGTGGTTAATTAATTTTAAGGGAAACCAAATAATGAAAACAGATTTTATATTCTTTATTAGCTTATTAGTTGTTTCGCTGAAAGAACTGGTGTATTGTGTGCGTACGTGCATGCGTTAATAAAACTGAAACATATGTACGTCACTGTAACGGGCTAGAGCAGGTGGTTGTTCGCCGCTGTGTTTTGTTTGCCTAGCGCCTTTGTGCTCTCTCATCTCTGATCGTCTGTCACTACAAGCTCAATATTACTCTTAGAAGATCAAATAGAAGACATTCGATTCGTGGCAAAAAAAATACATAGCAAAACCAAACAGAAACAGGAAGCAAAAGCGAAAAAGAACATTTATCAGGCGAAAGCGAAAGTGAAAGTGAAAATGAAAGTAGAAGCGAAAGGAAAAGCCCAGTGCGGCTGACCGCATTAGTAGAGAGAAATATTAAGCGAATAATTAAAAAAGAAAAGTAAGAAAAATAAAAAAAAAATATTAATGCGTTTGAGAGTTAGAGAGAGAGAGAGAGAGAGAGAGAGAGAGAGAGAGAGAGAGAGAGAGAGGAATGAAAGAGGAATTAATAAAAATGATTTAATGAATAAAATAAAGGACAGGAAAAAGATGCAGTCACCAGAGGAAAAAAAATTTGATGAATATTGGATAGGAAGAATGGAAGAGATTTCTATTAATCAGGATGAAGAACGAAGGAATGAAAAGCGTCGAAAGAAAAATAGGAACGAATTATAAATAAAAATTTAATAACGAAAAGAAAAAATAATATTGAAGCAATACAATTTTAAAATATGAAAGAAGGAAAACATCTTGAATTATAACTAAAAATTGGGAAAGCGTATCAAGAATACAGAAACGATTAATAAAAGTTTGAAATATGATCAAGGAAAAAAGTATTTCGAGAGAAATTGATTGAAATTTAAGTAGCAAAACAACGTAAACATGAAAATTAGGAAATTGAAAATGAATGAAAGAAAAAAAAAAAAGAACGAAAGCTAAAATGAAAATTTCTCTTTAGATATGAAAGATGCAAGGAATCATGACATAACTTGACATTCAAATATGGAAAATATGAAAGAATCAAGAGGAAAAAATTGTAAAGATTTACTAAAAACACCGAGAAATAAAAAAAGAAAAGAAGCAAGATTCTAACTGTAAAGTCGACACGAGATGCTGAAGAAAGGAGAAAAGAAAGAAACAAGGAATGAGAGAATGAAAGGAAGATTACTATTCGTAGAAAGATGTGAAAAGAAAGAAAGAAAGAAAAAAGAAAGAAACAAACAAATAATTATTGTCTCGAAAAATGACAAAGAATACAGACTCTGAAAATAAGTAAATAAATAAATTGATTAAAATTTTGAAAAAAAATACACTATTTTGGGAAAAGTGAATAAGAAATAAGGAATTAAATAAGTAAATACTATATAAATAAATAAAGAAAGAAGGAAATAAATAAATAAGAAAGAAACAATGAAAGAAAGAAAGAATTATTATAGTGCAAAGAAGACCATAGTGAAAAGCAAAACAGTGCAAAAATTACGAAAGAAAATAGACTTTAGAAAGAAAAAAAGGAATGGAAGAAAGAAAGAATGAAAGAAAGAAAAAAGCGAAAACGATAAGAAAAAGAAAGAAAAGAGAAAGAAGTAATTATTATTGTAAAAAAATACGAATAAATAATAAGTGTGAAAAATAAATAATAAATATTGCAAAAAAGTACGAAAGAAAGAAAGAAAGAAAGAAAGAAAGAAAGAAAGACAGACAGGGGGACAGACAGAAAGAAAAACAGAAACAAGAAAAAGGAAGATTATGAAAAGAAAGAACGTAAGAAAGAATGATATAAAGAAATTAATGTGTAAAGGAAGAATGAAAGGAATAACTGTAAAGAAAGAAAGAATGAAAGAAAGAAAGAAAGAAAGAAAGAAAGAAAGAAGAAAATGAAAGAAATAAAGAAACAAACAAACAAAAATAAATGAAGGAAGGAAAAAGTGTAAATAAAGACAGAAAGAAAGAAAAAGGAAAGAAAGAAGGGAAGTGTAAAAAGAGAAAGAATGAAGGGAAAGTGTAAAAGAAGAATGAAAGAAATAACGAAAGAAAGAAAGAAAAAAGAAGGAAGGAAAAAGTGTAAAGAAAGAAAGCATGAAGAGAAAAATATAAATAAATAATGCAAGAACTAAAAAGTGTAAAGAAAGAAAGAAAATGAATGAAGGGAAAATTGTAAAGAATGAAAGAAAGGAAGAATGAAAGGAAAAAGTGTAAGAAAGAAAGGAAGAAAGAAAGAAAGAAAGAAAGAAAGGGAGAAAGAAAGGAAGAAAAAATAAAGAAAGTGTGAAGGGAAACGTGTAAAGAAAACCAAACATAAAATAAAATAAAATAAAAATAACTGAAGAAAATGTGAATAATAATAAAATAATTACTTGAGTTAAATAAAGGAGAAAAGACATAAGTGTAAGAAGAAAAAAAAAATAAACGGAAAAAGAATGAAATCAAAAGAAATGAAATAATAAAGAAAAAGATGAAGAAAATAAAGATAAAAAACATTTTCTTGACAAGAAATCAAATAAATCATTTTTACGATGGAAAAATAAAGAGAAACAAAGACATGTAATGTAAAAGAGAGACAGGAAAAGAAAGAAAGAAAGAAAGAAAGAAAAGAAAGAAAGAAAGAAAGAAAGAAGAAATTATTTAAAATAAAAACTAAAAACGCTGAATGGAAACAAAGACATATAAAAACAAAGACAACGAAAAAGATTGATAAACAATAAAATGAACAACGAAAGAAAGAAAAAAGAATGGGAGAATTGCAAAGGAAAATGAAAAAAGAACGAACATATATAAAAAAAGGAAGAAAATACTTCATGAAGAAAGAAAGAACGAAAGAAAGAAAGCTAGAACAGTATAAAAAGAAATATAAAAAAACTTATTAAAATGAAAAAAAAAATAGGCTGTAGAGATTATATAAGATAATAAAAAAAACCCGTAGCAATAAGGGGGGGGGGTAAAAAGACAAAGAATTTAGAAAAAAAAGTTGATTACCAGAAAAGAAACAAAGAAAAAAGGAAGAAAGAAAGAAGCACGAAAGAAAGACATAAAATGAATTGAGGAAGAAATATAGATAGAGAAAAAAGAAATTATGAAAGAAAGAAAGAAAGAAAGAAAGAAAGAAAGAAAGAAAGACAGAGCAATATAAAGACTGACTGAAGAAAATAAGAGGTGGAAAGAAGAGAGAAAGAGAGAATGAAACAGAGCAAGAAACAGAAAGAAAAACAGAAAAAAGAAACAGATAATGAGAGAAAGAAAGAAAGAAAGAAAGAAACAAACAAACAAAAAGAGCAAGAAAAAGAGAAAGAAAAAGAGAAAGAAAGAAAGAAAGAGATAATGACAGAAAGAAAGAAAGAAACAAACAAACAGAGCAAGAAACAGAGAAAGAAAAAGAGAAAGAAAGAAACAGATAATGACAGAAAGAAAAAAGAAAGAAAGAATGGGAGGAAGGAATAGAGAAAGAAAGAAAGAAAAAGAAAGAAAGAAAGAAAGAAAGAAAGAAAAGAAAGAAAGAAAGAAAGGAAGAAAGAAAGAAAGGAAGAAAAAAGGAAATAAACACAGAAAGAAAGAAAGAAAGAAATAGATAAATACAGCATGAAAGAAAGAAGGGAAGGAAGGGAGAAAGAAAGAAAGAAAAAGTTAAAGACAGAAAGAAGGAAAGAAAGTGAAGAAGGAAGAGAGAGAGAGAAAGATAAGTAATTTGTAAAGAAACGCAAATAAGCTTTTTCAGTGCGAATAAATGATCGATTCCAAGAGAAGAAAAATTGAACGAGATGCATCGCCAAATGAATATATTCAGGAAGGAATTATTCGTGTATCAATGAAGGAAAAATAATAAACTGAAATCAAATATTTAAAGATTGGAGAAATAAAAAAAATTAAACGACAAAGACATTTTTTTTTTTGTTTTAAACAATAAAAAATTTAAAAAATTCGTTCGTGACGTCAGAATAAGAGCGAGACTTTGCTGTATATGAAACACGAGAAACAAGAAACAGAAATAAAAAGAAAATTTAAAACGGAACTCAAAGACGCTGAGTTAAGGACGAACAAAGCGTAGAAGATAAATAAAAACTGGTTGATTCGTGAGGACAGGAATATTTTCCTGCGATGAGACACTGGCAACGGTTGGGAGAAAGCGTTGTCAGTAATATTTGGCACAGTTTAGTTTAGATGAGAGCCGACGTGAGTCTGATTCGCATTGAATATAAATCATTTGTTTGAATTTGGATTCTTTTAAGTCAAATTTAAAATGTTGTGAAATGGAATTTACAATATGCAAAGATTTAATTATCTGTTCTTGCATGTGTTGATAATAAAAATTATTTTACACAAAAAAAAAATTCTTTCCGGCATTAGACACTTTTTATCACGTTAGCTTCCCTCTGCCTTTTCTATAAATATTTTTATGGCAATCGTTCTTCTGGACTTTCTTTTATGTTGTTATTTTTATTGCAGCTACATACAAATTGTACAATGGGGACGAGCCATGATTACATAGAGACCTGGGGTATTATGTTGGGTGTAGTAAGAATGTATAATTTTGATGTAAGGAATATTTTGGTATGTTTAGGTCAGTAATGGTGGCTAGCTAAATTTAAGATAATACAAATTGAAGGCCACCCTTCCCATGTCCACCATTTGGCCTTGTGCCACATTTTTGTATTGAAACAAAATAAATATTACTTTCTAACTTGTTAATCATAATCCCCTCCTTCCACAAAAAATGCACATATAGGAACTAGTTATGACTTCATAGAGACTTTGTGGTATTATGGTAGCTGTAGTGAGAATTCCAGTCTTCCCATTATCTCCTTTTACGGCTTTGTGCCATATTTTTGTATTATAACAAAATAAATATTGCTTTCTTTTATGGTACCTAGACTTTGCGTATTTAAAAGAAGTATGAAAGAAAAGAATACTGAACTGTTATGTGATATCTGTCCTTCTTTACGCCAGCGAATGTTGGATTTCCTGGACTCAAAATATAGACAGAGATGCGGTTTCTTTTTTCAAGGATGCTAAAGATATCATAGACCGAGCGTGTGATCAACGATGATAAATTTAGAGAAAATTTGCAAACAAGAAATGGCTTATATCTAATATGAAAGAGAACAGTTAAACTCCTGGGAGACATAATTGGAAGAAAATCTGGATCATTATAGAGGATTTTGTAAGAGACAAGGAAAACAACGCTTGACGTACCTTAAAACTTAAGCAAATGGATGACAGAACGTGGTCTAAAAGGAGGAAGCAGAAAAAAAGGTAAAAAAATGTTGACAGCTGCAAGAGATAGGAGGAAGTGGAGATATGACCATTTCTCGTCCTGAAAGGACATTTATTGTAAAAAAAAAAAAAGAACTTGATTGGTGACGGGGTCTCATCATGATAAACAAAAAGTGCTAGATGCAACTATAAATTCTATAAACAATGTTCCTTCAGGTTAAATATCCATTTTATGGACAAATTGCTACTAATATTTAAAACTGGACACTTCATCCAGTGAATTCCGTTCATGTTTATGTTGGCACAGTTAAATACGAAACAAAAATAGATTCACCATACATTTTGAATCAACAGCTGACCTCTTTCAAAAGGTTTTGTTTTGTTTCAAATCCTGAGCTAATCAATTTCTAACAAAAGCTATAAATCTTATGATTTGAAGATGTTGGTTTCTATATCCACCAAAAATCCTCTGGCTCTTTATTGGTTTCCAGAAACGTCGGAACATCGCCCATGTGCCATATTAATCTTTGCAAAAATCCTGTCCTGTGACGGTATTGTCCTTCCATCAGCTGCTTAATCGTCTCTGTCGAAAGATAGTTAGTCTGGTCTGGTTATATTATGTTTGTAGAATCAAATTGGATTTCATGTAGGTTGATGAGGACGTCACAAACATTCAAAATTAGCCTGCAAAAACGACACTATGTAAAGAAAAAACAAAAAAATGACGTTGGCTGATTAAAAATTTCTCCTTAAAACTCCTCATTGGGCAAACCTCAAATATAATATGTGCACCAGCGTATGTCGGCACGGTATAGTAGAAGACCTTGGCGTTGTAAACTCGTAGCCTGGTTGTCGGAAGATTTGCCGATACTGCTATAGTGGCAACCGGAGGTTATTCATTAATCTGAAACCTGCATTTAAGCATCCGGCTTCATTTTTTGATCTCCATGAAATTTGGTCACCGTCTTTGGAAAACAACCACTGATGATGGGTCGGTATCAAGGGCATAATAATATAACGCAAAAAGGAATGGGGCAAAGAATGGCATATCAATTTTAACGATTCCAAATAGAAAACTGCTAAAAATTCTTTCATTTCATAGAATCCTTTTTAAAAATCAGCAAAATTTGATGCTAACCACTAGCCTAAATTTTCATTACGGCCTAACGTTCCATGCTGACCTAAAATGGAAAGATTGTCATGAATCAATTGCTACGTCTGCTGTGAAGAAATTTCTTTCTTTCTGTCGCCCGATATATATTATTTTCTTATTTATAAGTTTACTATTCCTCTTTGCTTCCAATATTCCTGCTACAAATAGTCTGGTTGCAAATGACGTAATCTGAGATAAAAATAGAAATCGGTTACACCCTGTCACTCCAGTGTGTGGCACCATTTACGAGGCAGAAAAGGAAAAGAAAGAAAAGAAGGCAAAAGAAAAGGCGAGACGAATCGTCTGTGATAAGCAGAACACACACACGGCTAAGAAAAAAAATATATTGATAAGTAACAAATGGCGAAAAGGTGTCATTACAATGACAGGGGAATTCTGAGTTGAAAGAAAGGGAAAGAAAGAAAGAATCAAATGTGTTTTGAAACGGCTGTGTTATCTAGAGGGAGACGCAAACAAACGGCTGGTCGACTGGCACAAAGAAAAAATCAAATGAAAATGTTATTTCGATAAGTGACGAAAAACAGGGACTTTACAATGATATGGAAAATTAATCGCGACACAAAGAACGAAGTAACCACACTGACCGATTTTCTTGCCGCAGAACATCTTTTATGCCTGCGATAATAAAATTATGTTATCAAGAAACCGTTCGCCAAAGAAAAATCCAAATGAAAACGTTAATTTTGATAATTGACAAAAAACAGGTGTAACTAAAGGGCTTTGGATAGATAGATATGGAAAAATTAAAAATCCACACGAAGTGTCTACACTGACCGATTTTTTTCGACGCAGAACATCTTTGGCCTGCGATAATAAAATTATGTTATCAGAAATATGTACCGAAGGAAAATGAATGGGGACCCAGAAATGTTTTTTTTCTTTTCGAGGCGACAGACTGACTGAAATTTTGGAATGTTTTTTTTTGAGGCCACCACCCATTCTGATAATTAGCGATAAAATGACTGACGAAAACCACGTGTAGAACAAGAGTTATATACCACCGTCGTTTTTGCGGCTAGAGAAAATGATAACGGCGATTAAGAGGGAGAAAAGAAAAAAAAAGAAAAGCATTTTTTTTTTTTAGTTAAAGCCGCAAGATATTTTTTTTTCCTGAAACAAAGCCGCGGATTCGTCCACGCCCGACTAAGACATCATTGGTCGAGTGGTGATCACGTGACGCACGAAGGAGGCTGTCGACGCCCATCCAGAGGATAGGTATGAGAAGCTGCTACGAAGAAGTGGGGAGGGCAGTTCACGCCCCTCTGAAGTATGGTGAGAAGGTGGGAGTGAGAAAAGGTTCCCAAAAATGGAAAAAGAGTGGAAAATCCCTAACCAGAAATAAAAAGGGTGGATATGTATTTAGAATTATCGAGGAACCCCCGACGCCGACAGACCCACCCCGGTTTTGGTCGGCGTCCATAAAAGCGAAGCCCCAACAGCAGAAATCAGTTCAGAGTTCAGTTCAGAAAGTTCCAGTTGAGTTCTAGTTCGTTCCAGTTTCAGTTCCAGTTGAAAGACGTTCGCAGATAGCTGACCAAGATTCACGCAAATTCCGGACTCCTCTTCAACCCAAGAACAATTATTTTGAAGAGCGACTTAGATCCAGACCACCAAAATAAGTTTTTTTCGACTTTCGTCCAAAGACACACCGAAACACCAATTTCTTAGAGAGCAAACAACTTGAAGCGTTAAAACTTGCCTAACGGAAAACGACGTGTCACAATCCACAGAACGGGTCGGGAGATAGATGCAGTCCTATGTATCGAACAACTAGACATAAAGTTTGTTACCTTTTTCTTTGATACTTTGAACTTTTGAGTTTTCATTTTATTTTATTTTATGCATATTTGTGTGGTATCACCCCCGTTGAACTCAGTTTGCATTACGGCCCCAACCACTGATTGATCTCGTCTGCCTAAGATCAATTCACAACGTGGGTAGGCAGACTGGAGATCAGTGCAGTTACCTTGGTAACCAGGCGTTGGATGCGAGTTGGGAACGACGAGGCTGATATCAAATCTAACCAGATTCCCACCCGAATCACCAAAAGGTTAGAACGTCACATTTGGGTGCCGCGACCGATACCAAGCCAGTTGGTCGTCACAGGACGAGACAACACGACTGACGCGACAGGCGAACGTCACGTTTGGGGCAGCGACACCCGGACGGAGCAGCGAGGGGCGAACAGCTGGCGTCGCGGCGAGGACGTCACAATTGGTGCTGTTTGGGGACGTCACAACTGGTGCCGTGGTAGATCAGGATAGAACGTCACAGTTGGCGCTGCGACCGAGGGACGACGTCACAAGTGGATCTAAAACTGACCGTCTGATAAAAGAAAGGAAACTAAAGCGGTTGTTTCAATTAATCTGCACAAGGGTG